GGCAACTTTGTTTTTGTTCCTGATTTACAGCATCCGCAGTTCTTTTGGTTTTTATTTGGCTGTAAAAATATATTTGACTGATACTCTCCGAACCTTTGCTCCTATTTGGATTATTACAGATCAGGCCTCAGCCTGAGTTCAATTGCCGACACTGCCCTTTGGGATAAAAGCCCAGTTCTTGGAGCAGGGGTGGATGAGATTTATTGGAACGGCACCAGAGAGTTGTGAAAGGCAGGAGATACTGGGGCAGCACTCTCTGAGGAGATTTGATGGAAACGCTCCAAATTATGAGGTGCTCGGACAAAAGAGAAACTGCTGGCACTGTCAGCATGGGAGGAAAATGTAGTTTCTAAACCAACGAGTTATTGGCAACACGTTGTGAGCGAGGGTGATGGACACCGGTTCAACAGAACCGGTACAAAGGGAACTGTACAAACACAAGAAAAGGGGATATTTGCACAGGTTATTAGGAAGCTCCATGAAATTGGGAATTATTGGATAGCTCTATCCCTGAAGTACAACAGGAACATGGGGAGAATGGCCTCCTCCTATGCTGTGCTGTTCCGTAATTAACTCGTCAGGAGACAAGATCCAGGCATTTCCCTGTCCACCAGTCACGGAGACCAACCTCGTACCTTCTGATGTGCTGCTGGAGGTCGAAGTTCTTGGCAAACATCTTGTTGCAATAGTTGCATTTCAGCTTTTGCGATTTTCCTTTCCCTGAAAACACAAAGAAAATCATTTTGAGAAGCACGCTCTCTCTCTAATTTTTGTTTTCAGCGATATCTGTGGTGTCACATTGACCCGGTGTCACACTGACCCATCGACCCGGCGTCACAACTGCGCCCCCCCCCCCCCCCCCCCCCCCCCCCCCCAACAACCGCTCCCCCCCCCCACATACGCCCCCCCCCCCCCCCCCAACATACGCACACCCCACCCACACCCCCACCCCCTCCCCTCACCACCCCACCCCACTCCCCTCCCTTCCTCCCGCAACACCCCTCAGAGTTTCCTGACTGTAGGTTGAGTTTTATCTGCCATCAGAATGACCAACATCAGATGGAATACAGCGCCAGTTGCATTGCTATACACCTCAACATCCCTGTGAGCTCCACACTCAATGAGGTACTTAGAACCATAGAACCCCTACCGTGCAGAAAGAGGCCATTCAGCCAACGAGTCTGCACCGACCCTCTGAACCACATCCCAACCAGATCACGCGTCCCACCTGTAAGGTTACATGGGGATTTTTTACCTGGTCTGTGGGAAGAAACTGGATCACCTGGTGGAATGTGGTGCCACTATTTGCAGCCAATCACGGCACAGCAAGATCCCACACACAAACTGACAATCATCAGGTGACCTGTTTTTAGGTGTTGGGTGTGGGAGACCAGGGAGACCTTTGCTCTTTCAGTGCCGCAGGACCCTCCACATCGACCTAGCAACCAGATCCTGGGCTAAGCTCCAGTCCAAACAACAGTGCCTCAGGCACTGTGATGGGAGTAACAGACAGGGCCGAGGCTACAGAGTAGGGACCACGTTGAGGAGGCAGAGCAGTGAGGGGGTGAGGCTGGAGTGTCCCCTCCTTGGGGTCCTTACCTTCCTGGGCACCCAGGGTATCTTTGGGCTGCCTGTTCTTTGTACTGTCAGAGTCGAAGTTAGAGAGGTCATCAGCTGCAGGGTGAAGGGTGGAGGTGGTGATGATGCTGCTGGTTTTAGTTTTGAAGCCTTGCTTTCCAGGACTGTACACAGGGGGAGTGGTGAATGGGGAGCTCTCCACACACTGACTGGGAACCTGCAGAGAACAGAGCCAAGTACAGAGGCTGCAGACAACAGCGAAAGAACACACACACAAACTGACAATGCAACCCAGCACTGATATGAAACCCAACCGGTCTCCAGTAAGAGAACAGACACAAAATACTACGGATGCTGGAAATCCGAAATGACAGTGCAGAGAACGCTG